AGCTGCACATCCTTCTAGTTGCTGTATGTGGGACGTGGCCTCAGCATGGCTGGAGAAGCGGTGCGTCGGTGCGTGCCCGGGATATGAACCCGGGCCGCCAGCAGCGGAGCACGCACACTTAACCGCTAAGCCACGGGGCCGGCCCCAGGCACAACTATTTTAGAAGACACGATGAAGTAGTTAGGTGCTTACACATTTTATCATTAATATAACAGCTACAAATACAAACTTAAACAGTTATTTTATATTTGTGACTCACATTAAGAAGTTGCATTGCTGGGTGACTTAATTTTCCAAAAGGTGAACAATTCTTAGTTAAACTGTAAATTAAACAGTCTTCCTTCACTTTATGTGATAGTTCCAGTGATAGGAGATCTACTGTATATTAAAATCATGCAAAACTTCTTTGTTTTTGTATATAAAACGGAGGTCGGGTATAGATAATTATAAGCAGATTTTTCACCTACACGGACATGTGAAGGTATTATGGGATGAGAACAATTCTTTGTGTGTGAGACTGTTCTGTATTACAGCACAGTTAGCATCTTTGGACTTCATTCACTAAATCCACCAATAGCATCTTATAATTATTGGGACAGCCCAAAAAAGTGCTCACAATTTTCCATTATGCTCCTATGGTGAACGATTGTTCTATGACCTTACTTTACTTTGTTTATCTTCTTATTACTATGTGACTTATTGTTTGTTGATTTGTTTGGTGATAATCTCACTTATTAGATTATGAGCTTCATGAGATCAGGATCTTTGTCCATTTTGTATCTGCCTGTCAGTGGGTACTCAATGTATATATTTGTTGAAGGAATCAATGGATGAATGGATGGGATGGGGGAAGTGGTGAGAAATGAAGCTAGGGAATCTAGAACAAGCTATTCAAAGGATATTAAATAGGAAAGTGATAAAATTAGATTGTATTTGAACAGATCGTATAGCTAGAGTGTAGCAAATGGGTTTGAGGGAGGCCAGAGGAGAAATGAGTAGACTAGTTTGGTAGTCCAGGTGCAAAATGGTAATTTAGACAATGGATGGGGTGGTGATGGTCGAAGAGAGGGACAGAGTGAATGTATTCAGTATATTTAAGAGACAAATTGATGATAGGACCTGGAGATCTGTTGAACTTGTGGGGGAAGGAAGTATCAAGGATAACTCCTAAAGATCTGGCTTATGCTGCTGGTTGGGTGTTCGCACTATTCACTTAGGTCAGAAGCACAAGAGGATAGGACCATGGAGGGAGATCATAAATCCTATTAGGGATATATTTTATTTGCTGTTGCCTTTAAGACATCCAAGTGGATATGTCAATCAAGTAGGCATTTGGATTTTCATTTCACCAATTATTTTTGAGTGCATTTATAGTCCTAGGCACTGGTGGAGATATAATAGTAAACAGGCATACCTCCTGTCACAGAAATTTTACTTTAATGGGAGGAGATACACTTTTTTTTTTAAAAGGTAAGGATATATATGTTTGTTTCCAGTAGTGATGTGTGCTATACAGAAAATATTAAAAGGGTTTTGAAATAGTAAATGATTCAAGGCTGCCTTAGATTGAGTGATTGGAGAAAGACTTTCCTGAGGAGGAACATTAAACTGAGATGCAAATGATAAGAAGGAACAAACCAAGTAAAGATCAGAGGGAAGAGCATTCTAGACAGAAGGAACTGCCAGTGCAAACACCTTAAGATGGGAAAGAGGCTGGTGAGTTAGAAAAAAAGAAAAAAGGCCAGTGCTGCAGGAGTATAGTAGCTAAGGGTAAGAGTGGAAGAAGCTGTGGTAAGAGAAGTAGGCAGGGATCAGATAATGGAGGGCTTTTTATTTCAGGGTAAGACATTTATGTAAGTACAGTGGGAAGTGAAATGATGTAATTTACATTATTTTAAAGGTCACTCTGGCAGTTGTGTAGAGAATGGATTCTACAGAAGGTCAGGAGTAGTAGCAATGTGCATTGGCAGTAGTTTAGGGGAGAGATTATAGTAACTGGGACTGGGATGGTATTAGTGGAAATGGAAAGAATTTGATAGATTTGAGATCTCTTTCAGAATAGTTAACAGGGCTTTGTTAATGGATTGACCGTATTGGTTTGGAGCTCAGAGAAGAGGTCTCGAGCAAGTTTGGGAGTTCTCAACATGTAGATGGTAATTAAAGCCAGGGCAGAGACGAGATTGTCTACTGTAGTAATCCTCAACCCTGCCTTTACAACTGAAATCACCTGTGGAATTTTTCAAAATAGACTTGACCATACTCGCCCCTAGAGATCCCCTTTCAGTGGTGTGGAAAGAGTCCCAACACTGTTATTCCTAAATTAGCTTTATAGGTGAATTTGAACTGGCCTACACTGGCATCTGATCTGTTGAAGTAGAACAAAATTCCCTGTTTATCTTCTCTCTCCTTGTTTTCTATTCAGCTCTTTAAATCATTTGTGAACGTTTATCAGGCAATATTTAATTTTGCAAATGTAAGAATTTGTAAATCAGTGAATTGATGCTTTTAGCACAAAGGAGATATTTCCCCCCAAACATTGGTTTACCTGATGCTCTGAAGTCACTGAACATAATAGCATCCTTTGGAATTCTCTAGAATTGTGTTCATATTTAAATACTTCAATATTATTTGTTATTCTGTATATATGTTATGTATAAACATACTTAACAATTCTTTTAGCCTTTCTTCTAACTCTATGTTGATTGTTAGTGTATATTAAGACTAGCTTTATTTATTTTTCTTTATGTATCTGATCAGTCAAATAGATAGACCTTGGTTTCTTACTTTGAGGCTGAGTAAAAAGAGTAACATTTACCTATTGACATGATTCTCATAACTTCTGAAATTGTTACCTTTTCTGCTAGCTTTTAAGTCTTTGAAACTAGAAATTTTTGTTCATAAATATAAGTAAAACTAGTAAGGTTTAGGTTGATTTTTAAATCTGCATCTCATTTACCTTTAGATGTCCAAAATTTCTGGAGAGTAACTTGAAAAAT